TCCTCTTTACGAGCGCCTCCATAAGCCTTTTACTTAAAGATCCCGCTGCCCGGTTCTTGGCCGATCCTCCTTTGTTGGTTTGCGCCAGGGTAACAGGGATCATCATTGAGTGCCTTGCATGTAATTAAAGTGAGCTCTCCTATATCCGACTTCTGCTGTGTCTGCGTCGTGACACTGGTGGAGGAGCTGGGTACATGTCCGGGTCACCTTTCAACAGCCCGGGATCTAGTCCTACAAAGACTTCCGCTCGTCGAAACACCCGTTCCCCGCGCCAGCCGCCGCCTGTTAGGCCTGAGACCAGAGTTCGGTCCGTGGCCGGAAAACATGACTGCGCCCGGAAGCAGTAGCCTCGCCATGACCAGCCCAAGCATGACACAGGTGACTGTTTTCACCCCTAAATTCCTGTGGACTTCCACGGCAACACATATGAGGACGCAGATGACTGGCTTGAGGAGTTCGAGTGCACAGCCAACGTTAACGGGTTGAACGCCGCACAGAAGTTGGGGTACGTGTATTTCCCTCTCCAGGACGGGGCTCACACATGGTTCACGAATCGCGTGTGGTCAACGGGGGACGAGTTCCGGTGGAAGTTCCTGGACACCTTCGCAAACACCGAAAGGAGGGAGCATGCACAACGACTCCTCGAATCACGGATTCAAAAGCCAAACGATTATGTTGCTATGTTTGTTGAGGACATGGCTCGTCTCTTCCATCGAGCCGATCCCGATACGTTGATACGTGCACGACAATCCCGCGGGACTTTTCTCCTGGCTTCCGATCACGTCCACCCTCTCCTGGTCATTTTCCCCAATCTAATAGAGGTAGCTCCACGGACATGGAGAGAGGAAGATCTCCCAGTCCACACCGGGGAAACTAAAAGCTGCGACCTAAGGGGGGGGTTGCGAATTGCCGAAGAGTTGATAATCCCCCATTACCGCCGCACGAAGGGCCGCACATTTCGAATGAATCCACGAAAGACGACATTGTCACCACCGACATTGCACTTTCAATTGACGGTCACGACGTGATGACACTGGTCGACACTGGTGTGGACTTTTCAATAATGAGTGCGAATCTGGCCGACAAACTCAAGAAGGTGAAAATGGATTGAATGGTACCGCAAATTAGAGGAGCTGGAGGCCAGCTGCTGACGCCTACCGGGAAGTGCACCGCACGTATCAAGATCGGGGATCCATCATTCGTCGCAACCTTCATTATTCTTTCTGACAATGTTGTAAACAGGTCATCTTGGGTATGCATTTCTTGCGGGAGTACGGTGCCATCATAGATATGCCGGACCGTCTACTGACCTTCTCAGCGGACCATAGCGCAGCGCTGCAGCGCAAGCCCATGCGCGTCATTGACGACGTGACCATGCCACCGTCATCATGCCGCCTCGTCGCTGTCACGAGTAACTCGTAGCATACTGGAGAAGGTGTCGCGGAACAAGTGTCCTACGCTTTTACTCTCTCGAGGAATCACCATTGCCAGAAGTCTCGTCAGTGTAGTGTCTGGGCAAGCAGAGGTCCTGTTGACGAACTTCAGCAACGAGCTGTCGACACATTACAGAGGGTACCACAGTTGCACACTTCGAAAACATTGTAGATATCCACGAGTGCTTCGCAGTGCAACAGGCGGAGACACCAGGCGCTTCAGAACCACCACCTGCCCACGTGAGCCCAGATTTATCGCCAGCGCAGAGGCAGAGTCTTCTGGATGTTCTCAGCCAGTTCGAAGATTGTTTTTCATCGACCTCGAGGTTAAATCAAACGCCATTCACAAAGCACCAAATTATAATAGACGAGACAGAAAAACCAATTCGACAAAACCCATATCACGTGGCACCGAAAGAGCACTAAGCAATCCAAAAACAAGTCCAGAAAATGCTCGACGATGACATCATTCAGCCGTCAAAAAGCCCTTGCGCGTCACTGGTAGTGCTGTTTAAGAAGAAAGACGGCAGCTTACCCTTCTGTGTGGACTACCGCAAGCTGAACCGCGTGACAAAGAAAGACGTATACGCATTACCGCGTATTGACGATTTGCTTGACAGGCTGAGGCATGCACGCTTCTTCTCGTCGATGGACCTCAAAGGGGATATTGGCAAATCGAGGTCGATGAGTGAGACAGAGAAAAGAATGCTTTTGTTTCGCCTGACGGGCTTTACGAGTTGAAAGTCTTGCCCTTCGGATTGTGCTCAGCTCCAGCAACATTTCAGAGATTGATGGATACCGTCCTATCAGGCCTTAAGAGGCAGACGTGTCTGGTATACCTCAATGACATCATTGTTTTCTCAGCAACGTTCGAGGAACAATTAAGACGGCTGCTATTAGTATTTCAAGCAATACGGTCCGCCGGCCTAACGCTGAAACCCGAGAAATGTCATTTCGGTTTCAAGGAACTCTGATTCTTAGGACATGTGGTGAGCCATGAAGGTTTTCGTCCGGACCCCGACAAGATCGATGCCGTCAGAAAGTTTCCGGTGCCAACAGAAAAGAAGGCCGTGAGACGTTTTCTTGGTCTCTGCGCCTACTACTCCAGACTTATCGCCAATTTCTCGCACATTGCGTCGCCCTTAACAGGCATAACGAGAGATGATGTTCCATTTTTATGGGGCGAAGAGGAACAAGCAGCATTTGACGATCTGCGACAGCGCCTGCAGACACCACCTGTGCTTGCTCACTTTGACGAGGATGCGCCTACCATGATCGACACTGATGCTCAAGTCTTTACCACAATGAGCTGAAGAGGCGCGGCAGCTTGCACGCCTGCATGCGAATCGCCCGGTAGCAGAGTTACGACGTACAACGTTATAACCTGTGACACCAATACGTGACTTATGAACCAGGCGAGAAAGTGTGGGTCTGGAGCCCTATCCGCCGACGCGGCCTTTCTGAAAACTTACTCAAGAAGTACTTTGGTCCCTACAGTGTTGTACGGCACCTAAGTGACGTGAACTATGATGTCATCCCTGACAGTTCCTCACGAACTCACCAGCGAAAATCTGAAATCGTACACGTTGTGCGGATGAAGCCATATTTCAATGAGCCAGTTGCATAATACGTCAATTACATACACCGCGTATTTTGTCGCAGAGCATCGGGACGATGCTTCTTGGAGGGAGGCAAATGCCACGTTCAACCTGCAGAGAAGAGCTCGCGCAGCAAGGAAGGAAGACGAAGTTCTTGCCCGGTCTTCTTTACGACCGCCTTGCATGTAATTAAAGTGACCTCTCCTATATCTTACTTCTGCTGTATCTGCGTCGTGAGAATATATATATTTTCCCGGATGCTTGGTTACCAATTATTCTCGTTGCTTTTGCTTGACAAGTGGCTTCATCTATAGTATGCCTGTGCCTTAAGCTATCGATGCCCCACTTTCATGTGAAGCAGATTAGCGTGTGCTACAGGTGAGCGTTACATAGTATTGAACCAAAATTTTGGGCTCAACATGAGCGAGAAGGCGAACATCCATGCTTGCTGACGTAACATTTCACCTTTTCTCGTAACCACAGCTTTCAAATGGCGGGAAGAAACAGGGACCTGCTGTATCTTTAACGCGAAAGCGTTAAAGAGCTCGTTTCGCATAAACTTCGGGGCGGCATCGAAATATTTGGTTGTAGGCAAAAAATCAGCGCTGTTTGTGACAAAAATCCGAGAATAATACAGATGAATTCATTAGTGGCTCGAACGGGACCGTATTCCGAGCCTGTCAGCCCTCGCCCCATCGTGTGATGGGTTTAGCCGCTTGGCCATCACCCATAAATCATCAAGCGTCTAACAGAGAGCTATTTATAAACACTAAATAGCATCATTAGTACGCAGGACACGGATGCTCTTCAGCGGCTTAACCTTGAGATGGCGCAAAGTGTCCACGAGCGCATTTTTGAACGGCATCACCCCCCCCCCCCCCGTGTTACCCCGTTTCTTCGCACCACCAGGATGGATATATGATACGGAGGGCATTCGCACTTTGGCTTTCCTGGTGGCATGGCTCAAGTGTCCGCAGAGACGCGAAGCTAGGCTAGCTATCGAGAATGCGATACGGGAATGGTGCGATTACCCTCTCGCCATCTAAAGCGCTGCTCAATGGCCCTCCAAGCTTTTTTCTATAAAATTAGTACTTAAGACAGCACAATCATAATTGCGGGTCATAAGAAGTTGTTCCACAAATAACAATCTTTGTTAAGGCACAGTAAAAAAAAAAACGCCAAGCCTGCGCGGAAGGTGCAGCACAGTCAGCAGCGAAGCTAGAAGAGCGGCCTTTCAGAGCCTTTTCTAAACACTCATTGGAAAAGCTGCTGCAAGCACAGTTGCTTGATACCCACTACGGCATTAATAATAAAAAAATTGTGTAGTAGGCTGGCATTTGCTATGCTATTTTTCGTCATTCTTCTGAGATGCGTGTGGTAACCTCTGAACACTTGCAATAATTTTGTGCCAATCGTTCATGCAGTGGCTGATGACGATGAGGATTGTGCTTGAAGTGGGTATGCACCACAGTTAATGGGCGAACGAGAACAAGCTATTGTAATGGGTTGGAGCATTGGACGACCCACTCTTCATGCTATTCGCATTGTGCGAGGACTGGTTGTGCTTTCGCTGTTTTAAAATGCTCTATAAGTCGTATTCGCGCTATTGCTTTCCTTACATCGAGCCAGCCTAAAACAAATTTGCCAACAAGTCCCAACAAGAAAAATTTATTGCTTTTCATGCATGCCACAGCACGTGCCAAATAACGACTGCGCACAAGAGGAACATAGGACGCCCGCCCTTGGTGGTCCCTGCGTGGTACTACATTTAGCGCCTGGCTTCTTATTCATAGCGAACATGCGTTCGCTAGCCCAACAGCGAGTACTACAAAGTAGTTTATTGAGAAGTACATATAATTTTTTGTGTGTAAGCGCTTCGACTGGGATGTATTCTCTTGCCGAGTCTGTGAGGAGGTGGTCTCCTGTGCTCTCGGTGATATAGGAACCATATCAAGCACAAAGTTTCGGTGATGGATTTCACTATTTAGTGCTCAGCAGATGTGCGAGCGCAGGTGAACGATTCATGTAGAGTGTACAGCAGCGCTGCAGGTCCAAGGAGAACAATGCGTGAGGCTAACGATTTCGGAGCTGGTGAAAAAAACAAACGGGACATTTTGGACAAGCGCTGTAGACTTTCGATGGGGATCTTGGAATCATTTCCGAATTCATTCGAACACCGTTGCGTCTGGCCAACTCCTCGTCGAAACGCCATAGCGCTGTCGCACTTTCTAGATGTCACCCCTCGCCGGCGGAGTCGCATGGTCTCTAGGTGAAACTGCGCACAAGGATAAAACAAACAAAAAATATTCTACGTACCTATAGCACACTACGACTATAAGCAGAGCCCAATATTTTACGCATTAGGAAACCTCATTGTTGGTGTTCGAAATGGGCAAAGAAATCAATGTTTCAGGCCTCCAGCGTCGTCATCGTAGGAAGAATCTAGTTTCACACAAATCCAAATGAATTCAAGCGAAGGCTTGCATGACATGTATCTACCACAAGAAAAGAAATAAATACATATTGTTGCTGTTGCAGGCACAAAGTCTCCAACAGTTGAACATAGCTTTGCAAGGAGCTACTGAGCTAATGACGGTAAACTTAATTTCGGCAAGAACCTTGCTAACATTCATGTTCAATGGCCCCTGTTGTTTAATAAAGTCAACACAATGCAAAACACTATATGAAAGAACACCCAGTTTCACCGCACGGGCTAAGCGATGGTTGCCATAGCAACAAAATTTTCTGTCATGCGAAGTAAGGCTGGCAGTCGAATCTTTTAGAATTGTTCTTCCATAAATCTAAAAAATGCTGATCTAGGAAAATGCCGTCTCTCCAGGAAGAGCTGCACTTTATATATACGGTCCCTTCACGTTGAGGACACAACACGTAGAAGTGTACACGAGCCATTTGCTGATACCTGCTGTTACACGCCGAGAGGTTTTTTTTTTATTTTACTTCATTAGAACGCCGATTGTCAACTCTCGCATTTTATGAGAGACCTAATCGTTCACATTAACAGTGTTATTAATTTGTGATGTCATGTCTCTGGCCCACCTGAAATTGAAATCAAGTGCTCCGCACACCACATCGCTTTTTTTTTTCAAAAATAAAATTGCAGGGGAAATATTCTTTTCAGCTTACCTCCAAACACGTGTGGGATCCAGAACATCCGAATAATCACAAAGAAGCAGACGACAGTAAAGATGGCTGTCAGCAGTGCAGGTGGATGCAGCCATCGCTTAGTGAAGGCTTTCCTCGCCTCCTTCATCTCTGGCCAGTGGAGCTCCAAGGTTCGAAACGTGGCAACCACATCGTTCACCATTAGGGCCACCAATACAGGGAAAGACCCAATGGCTCCAACATATGACAGCCATAGGAACACCACAAGAAGCCGCTGGTACCACACCTCTTGCATGGCCTTCAAGGACCTCTGCGAGCAAGCAGCGTCATGGATTACAACGTAAAACAGAATTGGCAGGTTTCACGTACAATGGGAATCGATGATATGCGAAGCACGAATGTGGAAGGTTGATATCTCGTTTTAAAATGAGCACATGGTTATGAGGCGCACGTACATTATGCAGCACATGATGAATGATTTTCATGGTTCCGCCTGGCATTTGTGTTCGTCGTCCACTCACATCACGTAACACCATATTTGATATTGTCACGATGAGTCACAAGTACTGGGGGATTTATTAAACTGCCGGGTAGCAATCTAGTAGTATGGTAGTTCACGTCACTGACGCGGCGTAACACTTTATATGGGCCAAAGTACCGGCTCAGTAACTTTTCACTAAGGCCACGGCGGTGAACGGGCGCCCACACCCAAACTTGGTCTCCGGGGTTGTAAAATACTTCACTGTGGCGGCCGGATGTTATAGCGCCGTGCGTCTGCCTGCTGTTGCTGGCCGATGTGTAGTCACGCGAGCTGCCGGGCTTCCTCAGCACGCTCTGCGAATTCATCGGCGTCAGTTGCCAACTCGTCTTCGTCTTGAAACGGTAGCATAGAGTCTAGCATGGTCTGCACTTCGCGGCCGTAGAGAAGCCGAAATGGCGTGCATCGCGTGGTCTCTTGCACGGCGGTATTGAACGCGAAGGTCACGTAAGGTAAGATCCGGTCCCATGTTTTGTGCTGTACGTCGATGTACATTGAGATCATGTCTGCGAGGGTCTTATTCAGTCGCTCGGTAAGCCCGTTGGTTTGCGGGTGGTACGCAGTTGTCCTTCGGTGTCTGGTGTTGCTCAGTTTGAAAACTTCGTCCGTAAGCTGCGCCGTGAATGCCGTCCCTCTGTCCGTTAATATACTGGAAGGAGCACCGTGTCGTAACACGATGTGGCGCATGAAAAATTGTGCTACCTCAGAAGCCGTGGGTCGTGGGATCGCCTGCGTCTCAGCGTAGCGTGTCAAATAGTCGGTTGCGACGATCACCCATTTGTTGCTGTCCGCAGACAGGGGAAATGGCCCGAGAATGTCCATTCCGACTTGGTCGAACGGCGTGCAGGGTGCTTCAATGAGCTGAAGCAAACCGGCTGGCTTAACAGATGGTTGCTTTCGGCGCTGACATTCCCGACAGCTCTTGACGTACTTCTTGATGCTTGCTGAAAGTCCTGGCCAATAGTACCTCTCGCTCACTCTGGCAAGTGTCCTTGAGTAGCCCAGATGACCGGATGTGGGTTCGTCATGGCAAGCGAAGAGGACGTCGTCTCGCATGTCTCGAGGAACCACCAGAAGGTAAGCACGGTTGTTCGAACGAGCGTTATTCTTGTACAGCACACCGTCTCGCAGGCAGAACGACGTCAACGAGCGGGATAAATGACGTGGTATGATAGCGCCCTGGCCCTCTAAATGATCAATGATTGGACGAATCTCTGCCTCATCTCGCTGCCGTTTGCTCAAGTCTGATGCGCTAACGGCGCCCAGGAAGCCTCCGTCTTCCTTTGCTTCCTGACTGACGACATGGAGGGGTGCGCGTGGCAGTGTGTCAGCGTCTTCCTGCTTACGGCCGGACGTATGGACGATGGTGACATCAAATTCCTGCAGCCGCAAGCTCTACCGTGCTAGCCGTCCTGAAGGGTCACGCAGGCCTTCCAATCAACAGAGCGCGTGATGGTCCGTCACTATCTTGAAGGGACGACCATAAAGGTACGGGTGAAACTTGGTGATTGCCCACACGACTGCGAGGCACTCTTTCTCCGTAGTGGAATAATTTGCCTCAGCACGGAATAGAGAGCCGCTGGCGTAGGCTATGACTCTTTCTGTGTTTTTTTGACGTTGAATGAGCACTGCACCGTGCCCAATGTTACTAGCGTCGGTACGGACCTCCGTGTCAGCATCATCATCGAAATGAGCGAGAACGGGCGCTGGTTGCATGCGCTGTCGCAGCTCATCAAAAGCTCCTTGTTGCTCGTTTTCCCAGACAAACGGCGTGTCGTCCCTTGTGAGACGAGTCAGAGGTTCTGCTATCTGTGAAAAGCCATGAATGAACCGGCGATAGTAGACGCACAAGCTGAGGAAGCGCCGTGGAGGAAGCGTCACGCTCTGTTCAGAAATACGGAGCACGTCGACACGCCTTCCGTCATCCTGCACGTTGATTGCTCGCTGGGCTGAGAACGTGACGCGGCGCTCTTGCAGACCAATGATAGCTCCATTTTCCTGTAGAAAGTCAACTCCCAGGATGACGACACGGGAGCATTCGCGTAGAACGAGGCAGCTTGCTACGAATGTATACCCTTGGATCTGTACTCTAGTTGTGCATGCACCCAGTGGAATAACGACGTGGCCACCAGCTGTCCGAATCTGCAAGTTATGCCACGGCATGATGACTTTCTTCAGCTGCGTTGTCAGTTTCCCGCTCAGTATGGAATAGTCGGCGCCGGTGTCCACTAACGCATTAACTGCACAACCATCAATTGTCACTGCTATGTCGAGTGAAAGTCGGCCATCTTTTGCAGCAGTGTGTGATGTCGGACGGATTTCTGTACGGTTCTGCGTCAATAGGAGGTCTTCAGCGCTTCAACGTTCAGCGACCCCGCCCCCAGAGGTTGCTTGGGCTAGTTTTGCCGGCGGTGGCTGGGAGATCGTGTGGCAGAATACCTCTGGGTCGTTGATGAAAATTGCCTCGGTGATGGCGAGCGCGACTGGCGCCCGGCAGACGGTGGTGCATGCTGCTGGGCGAGGTAGTTTTCGATTTCGCGCGGTCTCGGGCCGTAACGGGGTGGCGGTGAGTACGCAGAGAAGCCGCGAAGCCCATGACGGCGATATGGGCACTGGCGGTACAAGTGATCAGCTTCTCCACAGTGAAAGCACAGAGGCCGGCGATCAGGTGTGCGCCAAACATCAGACTTCCGTGTAGACATGCGCCGATCGTCGATGTACTGAACTGGTGGCACCGAACGATGGGCGACAGGAGCGCCAGGGACAAAGGGCAAGGGCGGTGGCGTGTACGTGCCTTCGTAGTACGGTATGTGCTGCGCTGACTGGAGTGCAACAGCAGGAACAGGATAGACGAGTAACGGTGGCGATGCAGCAGGGCGTTTCAAGGCTTCCACGTAGGTTGTCTCACGGCATTCAGCAGGAGCTGGTGCAGCTGTATCAGGAGGCAACGTGTTCCGGAGGGCCTGGTGCAGCTCATCCTTGATCACAGTTGCAATAGAGCTAACCGTAGGATGAGGTGTTACACTAGCCTTTTGCAACTCTTCACGTACTATATCACGGATGAGTTCACGTAGACGGTCGTTGCTGGTTCTAGTGGTGGTGAAAATGTCGGCAGTAGACATGCCACTGACTTGCCTGTCGTATTGGTTGGATCGCTGCTGCAGCATTGTTTCCATTGTCACAGCCTCGGACAAGAACTCCGCGACCGTCTTCGGAGGGCTGCGCACGAGGCCGGCAAAAAGCTGGTCCTTGACACCGCGCATCAAGTGACGCAACTTCTTGTCCTCCGTCATTCTTGAATCGGCCCGTCTGAAGAGGCGCGTCATGTCTTCGACGTACGTGGTCACAGTTTCGTTTGGCAACTAAACGCGGGCCAGAATAGCTCGTTCAGCTCGTTCTTGGTGATCAGCACTGGCATAGGTCTGCAAAAGTCTACGAGAGAATTCGGGCCATGTCGTCAGCTGCTCCTCTCGGCTTTGATACCACGTACGTGCCCCGTCTTCGAGATAGAAATAGACATGACCCAGTTTTGCCGCGTCGTCCCACTGATTCAAGGTGGTTACGCGCTCGAAGTCCGCCAACCTGTCCTCAACGTCCTCGTGCTCTGTGCTATGGAACGTCGCCGGTGCCCGTGGGCTTTCCAACGTGTAGCGGTTCGACGTCGTGCTTCCCGTGCCTGTTGACGAGGTTTGCACAGAAGCGCTGGTCATGTTTGTCGACGTGGTGGGAGCAGTATCGTCGATTTCCGGAGGCAATCCCCTGATTCAGTGGCTGGTCCGATGCACGGGAGTATTGATTGGCACTGGACTCGTATCACGGCTTCCTGGGGGGGGGGGGGGGTCTGCAGCAGCCGTGAGACTACCCAGCACCTCCACCAGTTTGTCACGATGAGCCACAAGTACTGGGGGATTTATTAAACCACCGGGTAGCAATCTCTAGGACGATGCGTCAGTCGTGTCTGGCTCTCGAGCAGAGAAGAAGCACACGATCTTCTTTTTCCTCCAGATTGAGAGCCGCTCTTGCTGTCGACCCACTACGTGCTGGTGGCATTATATGTGAAGCTAGCGAAACGACGACGAGCACACCATAGCGTGGCGTGTAGTCATGACTTACATGACATGCATGCCATGATTTCCACGTTAGGGCCTGTAGCTTATGTTTGCCATGCAGTCATGTCATACCATACCAGTTTTCCAATGTTTCATGTGAACGAAACCACTGCAAGAGCAGCAAGACCATGGCATGTAAATAATGATATTCATGACATAAATGCCACGTTAGCCGCGCAGGCTGCTTTTTGTTTGCACCCTACATGTCCTGTTTATGCAAATGTGAAATCTGAGAATTTTGTATAATAGCGGTTCTTCATTTATTTTTCTCATACTAAAGATTGCGCTGAGTGCTCTTGCCTCGCTATTAACTTTTATTTGCCACAATTCCCAACTGTTAGAGCTAATCCAGTGACAACAGCTCTGTTGCGAAATCAACTCGCGAATGCGTACCGTTCCTGACCTCGCCGATATAACAAAACATAACAAGATGCTCGTATTGCATAAATGTAGCTTCGAAACGTACCATTAGGAAGTACGTAGAAGAAATCAAGTGGTCCAAGCCTCTTTCGTCTTGTATAGTTATAGTGGGGCAAATATTTAGAAAGTACCATGCCTCACGTCGTATCACACGATGATTTCTCGAAGTTTCCATAACATTGTGCTCAGTGCATGTTCAAGTTCTACCTACGTTAGCTGCCTATTTTGGAAAGAGGTGCATTTTCTTAGTGCGCAGGGAACGTTTGCAGGAAGAAGACAGATATGACAGAGGGCAAAGACAAATAGGACAGAGTGCAAACCTCTGCGCTCTGTTCTATCTGTGAACTCTGTCCTATCTGTCTTCTTCCTACAAACGTTCCCTGCGCACTAAGAAAATGCATCTTTTTCAAAACCAGTCCAATTAGTCACTCTTTTGCAGTATGTTAGCTGCCTAATTACTGCATAAGCACCAGAAAGGCCTACCCGTATCGGTCAGGTATACGTTTCATGTTCGATTTCAGCGCGGATATCTCGACACAAGTCAAATATTATACGTTGACACTGGAAGTGAAGAGCGATATGATCAATTAGGCAAGCGAACCCAAGCCTCTGCAACAACAGACAGCTTCAGCCGTGTCTATAGAGATTAATTACCACCCCAAAAGCAGCTTAGCAAGTACATAAGTGTAATCTATCACTTCTGCGTTACTTTCAACATATTATAGCCATAGCTTAGCGGCACAAATAAATTCAAGCTACAACAAACTGCTGTGATTTACATGGTGGAAGGAAGGCTGGAGGTTTGCAGTTGGTTGGTTTGGGGAGGTTTCTGTTTTTGATTGTTAAGTGTGTTAAACTTTCAACAGAAGTTGTTTTCAAAGTTTTCGTCACGGCTTATTCCACGTTTCTTCATTAAAAGATCAGCTGGTGCACTGAAGAGTCTCTCAATCCATGCGCTGCACAATGGGGTCGTATTACAACTTAGAAACATCTTGCGCACCATACAACATGTACTTGCACTGTGATTTGATGCTATAAAGCACATGTGCCTTATGAAGCATCGCGGTTCGCTGTGGCCAGCGCTTCGATAAGCAGTTGCAAATACGGCCAAGAAAAAAAAAGTGATAAATGAGGCTCCGTCTGTCCCCGTCTCCCCTATTTGCCATCACAAGGGGCCATACAGAGCTGTCACCTTTTCCTCAGGACGAGAACTGCCGTAGAATACAGGTAACAAGTTCACTTGAAAACAAGAAAAAGTTGTTTAGTTCCTGCAATCAGCTACAATATAAAGTAAGGAAAATACCTGGAACGTTACAATTTACAAAAAGTAGTCAATCATATTACAGGATAAGAATTCGATTGCTTCTAGCGCGTGGCGTACAACTATCGTTTCCGTACCTGTCTGCGTGGGCGGTGTCATAACTTTTACCTCAGGCATAATGACACAAAAACACGACCAGTCGCTTTCGTCATCCCTTCGCATTTAAATCACTATGATTTCGAATCCATATTTTGGTCATTATGGTATGCCTAGTTCGAAAGTGAAAGCAGGGAGACAAGAATAAATGACAGGTCTGGTAGCTCTGTTGTTGAAAGAGGGCACGGATCAATAAACGAGCGCGTCGTAGAAGCTGATTACTCTCCTCAATGCATAACCCAGTTCATCACTGCGAGTGCACATTTAAGGGATCGAAATTTGCTGTTAATTCCTAAAAACGTGTCCTACGTCAGCGACATTGAGTTTAATCGAGCCGTTTTTATATTTGTTGACGAGAAATCGGTGTCTTACACTGTTATTGTCACTGCTCTCGATAAGGAAAGAAATGTGAAGTTGGGGGCTTTCTTTTTTTTTTTTTGTTTCACAACACATTATAACAAAGGGCTAACAGGGATTCGTGGTCTCTTAGTTACAATCTATATTGCTGGGAGCAAGCGGTGCAGATTGAAGTTCAGCTATAATTCATAGTACGACAATAGGGTTAGGTTCAAAAGTAACACTCACCGCTAGTCCCGAGCAGACCACGTAAAAGCAAGGGAGGAATCCAAGCACGAGAACCCCGGCGTTCATCGCCAGGAGACAGAGGAGCAAAACCTTCAGCTTCCCTTTCTTCGCTACGTGCGCCTTGGCCGCCAACCGAGAATTAAATCGCGTCACGTAAGAGAACATGGCAAGGCACAGGCCTGCCATCATGACGTCCCCTAGAAAGGTCAGGATGGCTTGCAGAATGTCGCGTTCAGCCCACGATGCGAGTGCTCCGAGCAGATGCGAGACCTGCGAGCAAGCCGGCAGCCGATGAGAGGTCAAAATGTGATAGACAGATGAGCCTTGAGATCAATACTTAATAAAGACCGTAGTGCTGTTATTAAAGTGGACTTTTAATGTTACTTAACATTACCCATTATTAGGCATAGCTGGCATTAACTAGTGCTAACAAGTGCTAGCAGTGAGCAACTAGCACAACTTATGTGGGATGCCCCGCCGTAGTGGTGTAGTGGCTAAGGTACTTGGTTGCTGACCCGCAGTTCTCGAGATTGGGTTCCGGCTGCGGCGGCTGCATTTGCGATGTAGGCGAAAATATTGTAGACCAGTGTGCTCAGATTTGGGTACATGTTAAAGAACCCCAGGTGGTCGAAATTTCCGGATCCCTCCACTACGGCGTCTCTCATAATCATATGGTGGTTTTGGGACGTTTAACCCCACATATCAATCAAATCAATTAACTTGCGTGGAATGGTAAAACTATCTTCCACAAGTTATGCCATCTGTGAGGTCGGCCTGCATTTTTGGTATGAAAACACATGTTCAACTTCGTTCCACTATGTGAGTGCGAGGCGTCAATGAACCGGCTGTCTTCCAAGAGTCGAAGACAGCTTAATCACTGAATTGACACTCAATGATGAAAATATCATTACAATAGCATTGAATACGTAAACCAAATTTGTCAATTATTAGCCGAAATGTTCCACTGCTCCTCACGGACACCTGGACCATTCCTTTGAATCAGCTTGTAGATTGGTTTCCACGTAGCATACTCTTTTCGCCATCACTATGTCTAAAAATTTCGTTGAAGGATGTTAATAGGGTTCGCATCGCAAGCACGAAAGTGCTGGAAAAAAAAGCGTGTGGCAGGCGAGGAAGGGAAGGCAAAGAGTGAAAGCACGAGCACTGACCTCCTTGCCTTCTGTTCATCGCCTTGCGAACGCTTTTCTTTCTGCACTTTCGTGCTTGCGCTGCAACCCCTATTAACATGGATTTAAACCAACTAGCCTAAACAGCTATTCTTCCTCATCAGGCGATATTTCTTGCCCGACTACTTCTCTTCAAGCCTGTCTCTTGCCCTGAACGTTCACCTTGTTTCTACTGGGAGTGGAATATAAAGGTGGATGACCAGCAACCGAACCTTCTGCCACTGCCACTGCACTGAATTAGTACGACCCATTGCGTCAACTCACAATACTCGCGCCGACGGTGGCGCCGAGGACGTATGGACGAATTTCATCGCCGATGTCGTTGCTGATGGACATGTCGTTCCACGCCGAGTGGGCCCACGACAGGAAACCCCCTCCTCGAGCATCGGCATCTTGCTGCTCGAGCACCAGTTCGTTCGCTGCGTCTCCACTGTCTTGTACTAAGACCGTTTTTTCATTGGTCTGACACCTCGCGGCCACTGTCCGTCGGCGGCCAGAGGTGGCCATGACCGGAGCTTCCAGCCTCTCCTTACGATTACGGGACCTGTCGTCGCTGTCCCTTCTGCAAGGGACCAGAGGTACGTGGCGGCTCCGTTTCCTGGGGGCGCTTCGCCAAGCTCAACGGCTCGGCCATCCACGAGCTCTTTTTTATGATGATGTGCTCTTCTCTCTCGAATGGCACTCACCCACAACGAGGGATGGGCCAAGAATCCCTGGCAGGACCTTTGAGGTAGATGCCTATGAATCTGATGATGATGATTATGATCCCTGTTACTCTGGGGCACACCCACAAAGGACGAATCTAAAAGCATTTTTCCATAAGGTATCTGCATGCTCTTTTGTCTTTATTCGCCGTCGCAACGATGGTTCATACCAGGGTTCGTACCATGACTCAAACAAATTTCATGGATTAGTATAAGGATGTTTTCAAGGCTTTCAAAGTGCATAGAAGAAAGAAAAAGTGACATTTCGGCTGAATGACGAAGCAATGAAATCGATGACTAGAAATCGCAACGTCACACGACGAACGACAGGCAGCTCGATACTTGCAGTGCCGCTATAGTCCTCTCTGGGCTGTTGTTACGCATGACTCCCCCAAAATGCACATCCTAAGCTGTCACGTTCGCTTTAGTGCTCCCAGGCAATAGCCCAGATAAGAGGGGATCCTCCTCTCAAATAAAGGCCTTTTGTTAGGGTCGAATCTCCTAAAGCCGAGGGTCTGACATTTTGTAACAAAATGAGAGCCCAATTAAATGGGTCTCTTTTTACAGGATCACCCTGCAGTATGGCCGCAGTATATAGGCACCGCGCATACTTAAAGAACTGCCACAGTCACGTGCTGTCTAAAGCGCCAAAGCGGCTACGGCAGCAGATTTGACAGGATACTCGAGCAGACGACGCAAGTGGCGCCATGCCACTTCGTCGCTCTTTGGTGCTTCACTTTGGGTGTTTATGCTCTCATTTCATGCCCCGCCGCGGTAGTCTAGTGGCTAAGGTACTCGGCTACTGACCCGCAGGTCGCGGGTTCAAATTCCGGCTGCGGCGGCTGCATTTCCGATGGAGGCGGAAATGTTGTAGGCCCGTGTGCTCAGATTTGGGTCACGTTAAAGAACCCCAGGTGGTCTAAATTTTCGGAGCCCTTCACTACGACGTCTCTCATAATCATATATGGCGGTTTTGGGACGTTGAACCGTACATATCAATCAATCAATCGAAGAAAACGACAACGGAAGTGACGAACCCGTTGGGCAGAACCATAGATAAGTTCGGTTGTTTTATGTATAGACTTTTTTTCTCTTTTTGTGTGTGTTTATTAAGTTTTTTCAGGGTTTTTAGATGCGGAGCATCTAATACTCGAGGCTTGTAGTGCGGCGCCGTCCGCAAGCTTCCTCCTCCTTCTTCCACCATCTGTGCATCCCTTCCTCCTCTACACACCGCGCGCGCTTCACTCCTCCACCATCTGTGCACCCTTCCTCCTCTACACACCGTGTGCGCTTCTCCTCTTCACGAACAATCACTAGCTGTATAATGTAGCGCGCTTGCGCCGTAACGCTTCGAGAACATCGGCAGCTGACGCGCGCGCATGCGCCGTCGCGCTTCGAGAACATCGGCAGCTGACGCGCGCGCATGCGCCGTTGCGCTTCTCCCCCTTCTCGAACATTCGACAGCTGACAGTGCATGCGCCGTCGCGCTGTATATATACTCAAGGTCGGCGCTCGCTCGCTCAGTTGCCGCTCGTCGGTTGGTTTGTACGGCGCGTCGACGTCCGAGGTCGCAATGATCGACGTCCCTTCGACCAGCGCCGGCCAAAGTGGACTCTAAAAGCCATCGTGCTCAAAGCTCGTCGCAATAAATAAACACCGCCCTTTCGCATACGTGTCGTACGTGTTCACTCATTTAACACCCCTCCTACAACCACGTTAACTAATTTAGCCAGCGACCCAAGTAAGTCGCAATTTAACACCCCATTTCACAACCACGTTAACCAATTTAGCCATCGACCCAAGTAAGTCGCACTTTAACACCCCGTTAACCAATTATATGCTCCGCATCCTCCTCAGTGTTCCCCCGAGGGAAGCTGCGGGCAATTTTTTTTTTGCTTGTTTAGAAATCCAACACCTTTAAACTATTACATTTATTACCTAATGAATCCAGCCCTTCTTTTCAAGAAGTTAATCAATTTTAAAAAAGCAAGACACCATCCCATTCGTGACCTATCCCCTTAAGTGGGTTGCGCCAAGTTGTTGAGGAACCAACCAACCAACCAACTTGACACGCGTAGCGCGGGCCGCTTCGCTCACTAATAAGCGATCACAGCTTTTAACACCCCCGGGATAACGCGGCGGCGAACTCGGCGGTAGGTTGAAACAGACGCCCACAGCAGTTGCACTGTCACAGCCACTCCACGCGGAGCGATGCCTTTAGCTTGGCTATTCTTATCGCTCAACACTCGTGGCGGGCTGATCGCATTGATAATGCGGATGTACTACCGTCACTCCGACAACTGGCCAAGCGCGGGAAGCATTGGCATCCGGGAAAAGGCATTGTTCCGCGATTACTCGCCTGTGCCACCGACTAACCCCCGTATTCAGAAACGCTTCTCGACTCGACTTTCCCCCTTCACTTGACAGAGTTGAGCACTGCGCCACTGCTCGGCTGAAAATGGCGCTGCCCTACTCAAGAATTGCAACAAATTATCACTAATATGCAGTGTCTTACCCTGCCTAGAGATGGCGCTACAATCGAATTTTTCAAGTGAAGGTGGTGCGTTGAGTGAAGGGGCGTTCTAGAATACGGGGGTAAGAACATCGTTTTAAATCTTTTTTTGCCGCTAGAGGCGCCTTCGATAGTTACGTCTGCACCATGGCCAAACAAGAGACGAGACGGGTGAGGGGGCGTCGATAAGGCTTCCGAATTTCAAGAATACAAGAGAAAATTGATATCACATGGCCTATTTATCAGTGCACAACCGACACCCCTATTGGACAACGTGTTAGCCGCTGAAAGCGGCGGCGATTCGCCCTCCGAATGCAGTTTCTTCTCCTGTTAAGGACGTGCTGATTTCGTACATGTTGCGTGCTTTCGTTTGGAATTCATTGGTGCTCAACCTGCACAAGCCGTCCGTCAGGAGGCGCGTAACGTTTCTTATTGAGGGTGAACTTAGTTGTGCATGCCCGAAGAAACCATGCGCCCCTTGCGAAGTTCACGAGGGTATAGCTGTTTGGGCTTGTTGGTTTTACATGATACGAAGTGAAAGCGTATCAGACGTGTGTCAAGCCTCTTCTCTGTCCTCGTGTTATGCGCTTTTACCGTTTATCCCTTGCGAACCTCCCGAGTCAAACTTCAGTGTCCGGCGTTGCCCTTTTTTTTACATGCTGCAATGCGTTGTTCAACAAGAATGTGCCTATAGGGCGTCTTCAAAGTCGCGGTTTCTATTCCCGCCACCGCAGTCGCGCACGAATGGTGGCGAACGCTATAGGAACACCCTAAAGGCACGTAACGTAAGGGTGTCTCTCGAAACGTTATCGGGTTTTGAACACGTAAAGCACTGGAAATTATTACGATCGCCGCGTCTCGGGGCAAGTTTGGTCCATGCGAGCGGAAATTAATTATCTATTATTGTGTTTAGTATGGTTTGCTCTGCATTGAAACAAAAAAAAATGCCAGGCCTGAGTGAAATACGCACAGTAATCGCAACTAAAACAGGGAGGGCGACCTTCCTGGAGCCTGTAGTAAACACTCTTAGGGCAACTAATACCAAATAAAGTGATGCGCACGGTTAGAACGAACACGCGAGCACGTGGCTTTAGGCCAACAGCGCTGTCAGCGCCGCGTAACTCCCATCGTTGGAAACATTGCGAATGCGCAGAAGGTTTTCTGCACTAAACACTCTGTCAACCAAGTGTACCACGTCATGGGTACGCTTGTTCGTCGTCTGCTAGTCGTATTTCCGTCGGCTATGCTGGTGCATTTTGCATTTCAAGGTCCCTTAAACAAATAAAAACTATTGCACGAATGAAAGCATTAGACTGCAGCAGATAACATTTGACCCGTCTAATAAAGAACGCTGCCAAGAACGATGTAACTTGAAATGCAGGTTGCATCGGTATAGCAGACACGAATGTGGCTAGCAGACGACGAACAAGCGTATCCATGACGTGGTGCGCGTTGTAAAAAGAGTGCATTGCAGAGCACGCGCTCCGTATGTGCAATGTTTCCAAATGTGGCTGTTATGCGGCGCTGATAGTGCCGTGGGCCACGCACTCGCGTCTTCACCATAACAGTACTCATCACTGAGCATTTTCAAGGCACCAAATACGCCATAAATCACGATTTTTTTTCTGCAGCAGACAAGCGTCCACTATTTCTTATTATGCTGGGCAGTGACATACTTGCTACTGTGGAGTTTGTACATGGATTGGTGAATTTCGGTGAGTTTTATAACAAAATGGAATGCGGATCCAATAGTTATGACGCCGAGTTTAATATACTCGTGTAGTTTATCCAGAATATATTGTAAGGCAACAGTTTACAAAGCTGTTCTAAGTGGCTGTGTACAACTTTTTTTAAGACAGCTCACGAATTACACAGCATTTTACACAGAACACATGCTCACTAGCTTAAACAATAAAAAAAACGTTATAATAACTTATAACTAAAAAAAAAGAAAGCAGCTATGTAAGCTCAAGCAAGCTTGTATACAAAGCAGCAGCTAGAAAGTCTTTTAAGTATTTAATTCCAGGTTGAAATACAGCACTTTGTAAATCGGTTTGAAACAAAATCGATACGCAAACATCAAACAATATCTGTATGAGCCATCATCACGAATGTCATGATGATATAATGACTCAGTCGCTATACCATCAGGTCACTCCTTGATGGGAGCGCCACTAAGGCTTAAAAATTCAGTCGGTGTGTATTCACTGTTCACTTATTTTTATAACACATCTCCGTGTTCGTGAGGTCACTCCAATAAATCCAGGGTAACGCTGCAGATACAAAATTTCCAACGCTTGATGGTTCTAACTTTGGAGGTTGCAATAAATCGAAATCTGGGCTCTTGTTGACTAATTTGGGAAAGTTCTTTGTGAGGATCATGACACTATAGTCGAACTCGTCACTGGTTCGGCCATCACTTCACACGTATATC